CCTATGGGTACTACCACAGCTCAGCAACGATCATCAGAGGGATCAATCCATTCTCGTCCCCAGAGCCATTTTCACTCGGTCACTCGTTGAAAATTAGGCTGTGGGTTAGACAAATAAATGGAGATATGATTGGCTACTCAGAGAATTGCTATTCCGCAGAAGTTGAGCAGTTTACGCTACGCAAAATTCTATCAAAATATGTCGACACAAATACTTCGTTACTTTCTAATACTTCTCTGTGAAAATTGTTACTGGTGCTAAAGAGACAAAATTCAAGAGTATACGCCTTAGAAGCTACTGCAAATTTTCTTGCACTTCCGGTTCCGTGTAGAGGCCCTGGGAACGAGGATGGGATCAATCCGTACACTAGACATTTTCTGATGAGCCGAAGAATTACAATATCAACCAGGCTTTCAACCAGGGTGTCAAACTGGCCGTCCAAAAAATCCGGGAGTGTGGCAACTATTTTTCGTGGACACAGTAAGACCATGGCATTGAATAAAAGTTTTAAAGAAAAAAATTTGTACAGTAGCTTACAGCTTTAAACCTAAAATCCATACAAGTGCAGTTACCTCGTCAGAATCTTTAGGGAAATATTTGAGAGTTGGGAAACTATCGACACGAACTTGATCTATTTCATTCTTGGTTGAGTCCATCTTGGCAATAACAATACTATCATCATCTTTGAATTTCTCAGCTAATTTATCCCAGATTGGAGCCAATTGCTTACAATGACCACACCACGGAGCATCTGAGAATCAAACATGTTATATTAAGCATCTGTTCTGAATTTGATCCCTTCCTACCAACGTAGTTACTCTGTGTACAGTATTTAACAATTATTTGCCGAAGGCGAATCATTGTTTTAGTATTTTTACATAAGTCTTTTGCGACTGAATTTATTTTAATTTCGCTTATTTCTTTATTAATAACTTCCACAAAATGGAAATTACGCAATAATTTGCTAACGTGACACGAACGGTTTAATCAAAATCAACGCAATATATGTAATTACTATAACTTGAAAATGATTGGCATGTAATATCGCTATCATTTGTTTCAAAATTATTTTCAAAAAGTTTTTGATTAAAAGTATTATTATTATTATTAAAAGTATTATATTTATACTGTTTAAATATTGACAATATTGTAAATGATTGTATTTTTGCTACAGGACCCCACTGAAAAACATGCATGTGATGTGGGTATCCTGGATAAATATGATTATTATTATTTAGTTGCAAGATGTCAAAGATGGAAGGTCCTTTTTCGTGCTCGATTTTCGGTCGAGCATGGGTCACCATTATATTTATTATAACTTTTAGATGTTTTAACAGATAGTTCGTATTGTGGGGAAAATATTACCAAGGAAAACCAATGGTGTTGTAGCAAGGTGCTTTCAATGCGAGTGTTGACGGACAAAGATATGTGCCTTCTTCCCACATAACCTCTGTCAGACAAGACAAGAATCCGTCAAGATGCTCACATCTATTTGACGGGAGGCCTCTCGCAGTGTTACATGCAGTGTAAACGGCAGATCTGTCGTAGTGTACATGCTGAATAACTGTGTAACAAAGCTGTAACAATAAAGGGCCGGTCAAAGTGGATGAGAGCAGATGACAGTTGGCAGACACAAATTGTTATGGGGGACAAAAGTCTAATGCCTAGATATGTCTAATGTCATGCCTATTTTACTCACATAGACATCATCCATCAAGATTAACTAATTTATACATATTCGATCGTCTGTGTTTTTTGTTGCATCTACACTGATTGTCAGACAGTCTCTGATGCAGATCAAACCAATTTAACACACATTATGATAATAAAACACTTACAGAATTCAACAAAGACATTCTTTGTCTTGTCTAAAGCAACGTCTTGGAAGTTCTTTCCAACAAGAACCTTGACAGGCTCTTTGTCCCAGTCTTCTGGTAAATCTTCTGACATTCTGTGTGGCTAAATAAAATATGGATTACGTTTAGCTACATGTCATTACACAATTGTGTGCATATACTATGGATCAGAAGGTCACATTGGACTAAACTCAAAATTCCCAAATCCGATTGAATCCATTTAAAACCAAACCTAAACATAGCAAAACTAGGGTGAGGTGATTAATCGGAAGAAAACAATGTTTTTTGAAAACCGATCAACCAATGATGTTTGTGATGTTACTCTGAGTGTATATCCACACCGGGCGAGCTTGAAAAATATGCCCGGCCACGGTGGGAATTGAACCTACGACCTTTGGAATACTAGCCTAATGCTCTGCCAACTGAGCTATGCGGTCAGTTGTTGTGTACTCAGGTGAATATGATGTTTGTGATGTTACTCTGAGTGTATATATCCACACCGGGCAAGCTCGAAAAATATTCCCACCGGCCGGGCATATTTTTCAAGCTCGCCCGGTGTGGATATACTGTACACTCAGAGTAATATCACAAACATCAATATTCACCTGAGTACACAACAACTGTACTGTAGTGTCCTTTTTAATTAATTAAATCTGTTTTTTTTCCACTTTTTTCACACAGTTTTCACTTACTATATTAACCAATTAAGCTGTTGTTTGATATTACAACAGTTGCTCAATGAAAAAATGATATAAAGATACTTCCTGATGATCAAATTGATGATAACATACTGAATGACTTTTCACATACCTTGAGTTTACCATCAACAAAGTCTTGTGCAAATTGTCTTAGAGTTTCAGCGGAAATGGTCTCAAAATCTGGTTTGAATTTAGCCATGTCTTGTTCAGTCATATTGATAATACGAACAGTAGGTACATCGTCTTTTGTAAGTCCAAAGAATTCCGATACTCTGCTATTGTCATCAACATCAACATCAATGTAAACATACAACATTTTGCCCTTGAAATCTTTGGCAACATCACTGAAAAAGCCCAAGACTTCTTTGAAGTTTTCAGCACTCTTCTTGATAAATAATAGAATGTGAACTTTGATATCACCACCAAAGATCTTTGGTGCACTTTCATCTGTGAATTCCATAACCAATGGCATTTTGTTGGCATTGACAAAAGATGCTATCGCTTCGGATTCAAAATCACCACTGAATGCAGCACGACCTTCATCGAACTAGAAACAAAAATACAAATGATAATTAAACATTGGTCAATACTCTGTGTCAACCAGGTAGGAAAAATATATTTTTAAAGTTTCAAAATGTTCCAATTTTTACAGCTGACCAAACCAGTGCAAGAAATCATATTGAAATTTTTTTTTGACTTGCTATACAAGTGAGTAAAAACCAGGGCTGCAAAATTACCACTAAAAAAGGAATTAATTCCAACTACAATTACTTGCTTTAAAATGTAATAAATTCCTGATTACAATTACTTGTTCTAAAATGTAATTAAGTACAATGAAAAAATTACTCCGGAAAAGAGGAATTAATTACAATTCCTTTACTGGCAAATTGTTACTATATATACTATAAGGCAATATCTTAAACAGTAGTTGTAAATAAAAACGGTATAAACTATGAAATTTGCAAGAAATTATCAAGATGATATTTCAATATATTAAAACATTTGACATGCAAATCGAAGCATGTAAACTTAAAACTTTATTTGCCAATATTTGGCGCTCTGAGCCTCGGAACAAATTGTGGTTCCACTTTCGCAATAAATAGTACTTCATGTAGGCTACCATGTCATGTGATCTCATTGAAAATTATTTCAGCCATTTTTCTGAATTTTTGTTGTAAAGTTGTATTTTTTATTTCTTATTTTTAACAGAATAAGAAAAGGATTTTCAATTTGCTCCTTGGAAAAGGAACACGTTCCTTGCTTTTGTAATTAATTACGTTTTTCGTCACATTTCTAAAAACGTAATTAATTACAGGTTAAAATGACTTCAAATGTAACAAGTACACAGTAACATGTTACAATTGTAACAAGTATTTACAGCTCTGGCAAAAACAACAAATGGGCAAGCTCCTGAGTGAACAAGAGCAAGGAAATTGCATCCTTGGACCTTGGCACAAAAAATTACATGACAGTATTAATCCAAACTCAAAAATATTTAAGATTTCCTCTTAATGTTTCCGGACAACTGTTTCGATTACTCATACAAGACATACTGTAATTAAAACGGAAAAGGCATTGATCATAATGCATGGCCAGTTCTTAAATCCGTCTCGCTAATATGCACCAACTAAAATTTGAGTCGGTAAATTTTGGCCACCCAACAAACCCCCTATCGCTAAAATCCTCACTTTAACCTGAGAAATTTGAGCTCAACCATGCAGCTAAACAATATAAGTGGACTTGTAGAAAGTCTTTTCTTCTTCTGCACTTACTTTCTTGAAGAGAACAATAGCATTTCCTTCAACTTCGTTTTCTTTCGCAATGTCGGCATTTGATACAATTCCAAATTCAACATCATCAATACCATCAGCAGCACTGGTGTATGCCTTGGCCTCGGCTGACTCGACATCCCCAAAGAATCCAACAACAGCAACTTCTCTTTCTTCAATGAATTTCTTCACATCGTCACTTGTCTCTAAACTCTTGGCAGGTGGGCCAGTTTTTTTCACCAACCATGATACAATATCATTTGCTGTTCTGCCACCTTAAAATAAAGAACTTAACGTAAGCGTTGTTCCGAAAGAGATTTGCAACCCTCTTGGGAAGAGACTGTTTCCTGTTCAAATGGGGAGATGGATCCGGGGTGTGAGATTTGCAGTATCCTCATATCCTGATGATAGCAGTTTCAAATTTTGGTTACCAGATATAAGGGATGAGCTGATAATTGGAAATTAATCGGTAGAAGCCGATAATTGGCAACTTTCGGACAGATCAGATCAACATATATCGGCATCTATAAGCAATCCGATAAATATAAATCTGGCTTTTACTTGTGATATTTTACTTTTATAATTTATTTCCTTGAAAGAGACTGTCAGATTTACTTATGCCGTTACTGTCGATGCAATGGAAGTGTTGATAAAATATTGCACCAATTCCTTTCCTCAAGTTGATCAATTCATTTGATAGAAAATTGATCAACTTCCTGTTACTTTTAGATGAGCCAATTAGATTTCGTTTCAGAACCGATTGACCAATAGGAAACGCACAGGAAGTAAAAAGAAATTTGAATTTGTATGAATTGATCAACTTGAGGAAATGAATTCATGCAATATTTTATCAACACTTCCATTGCATCGACAGTAGTCGTTTACCGGGATACTTTTACCGAAATAAATTGATTACTAAGTTGAGTAAATTCAATTCTCAACTATCATAATGACATTTCTGTTACTGGTCTGCATGAGATTAACTCTTGATATTTTTTGCTAGCATTTTGCCCCAATTTCAAGTGTTGGGAATTCCTGTTAGCAAATATCGGCAACAACCAATAAATTGGCCAACCAGATGGTAAATTGGATTGGAATTTATCAGATTGGTAAATTAGCTCAACCCTATCAGATATCAAAACGTGGTATCCAATTGTTTTGTCTACCTAAGCCCTAAAAAAATACCTGTGGTTCCGGTTTCCAGACTGACCCTATTTTTTTCTGCCGACCCAATTATTTTTGCAACAGGATTGACCGTGCAATCCTATTTTCTCCGGGAGGTTGGTGGCTGCTCATACACATAACAGCATGCCAAAATGGCATCTGTTGTCACAATAATTATTGAACCAAATTGCCTAAATTCGTCGATAGGAAATATGCATCTCTACTTAACAATGATGTTGGGACTCTACTGAATATCGCCCAGCAAAAATCCACCAAAGCCATGAAAAAAATATTCAAAAACATTTTATTTCCGACCTACCTACCCTATTTTTTTCACGATATGAAACCGGAACCACAGATATTTTTAGGCCTGAGCATTTTCATTTCCATATATGTTTAATCAAGACAATTACAAAAGTTTTGTCATTGCAGTCAATGTTGCTAATCAAACGGCATGATGTTGCAAAATTTGTTGGCATATTGGCATCTGATTAATCAACGAGAAATGTCGCGAGACACAGGAAATCCGCAATTTTATATGCGCGTCTCAAATTTATACATGCCAGCAGCGTCGCAAATTTTAGCCGTTATGTGTAATCAATGTGGCATTGGTATGGTGAAAGTTCATTTCTGACGAGGCACAATAATAACCAATAAACATCAGCCATTCCGAAATTTGATCTAATTGTATTTCGGCGTGTTGTTCAGGATGGAATGATTCGAATTTCAAAATGTTGAAATGCACTACAACTAAATAACAGAATAAGGAATCATTTATAAAGGAATCATTTATAAATTATAAATATAATCATGACAGCAGTCAGCGTCCCAGTGTGCCAAATTGCCAACTTCGGTAAATAACTGAATTTGGGAGGGCCTAACTCATCCATCTACACCATCTGCTAACATACTTGATACTTCATGAAGTATGATACAGATATATTATACAGCCCGAATATTCAATCGGACAATCGGATTGATGTCCAATATCCGCGATCGGAGTCCGATTGATTCGATGGACAAACATGTCTACCGTCGGAGAATAGTTTGTCCTATGGACAAATATACGTAGACAAATATATCCATGGATAGCATAACGTGATATTAATTTATAATATATTAAGGACTATTACAACAGTCAGGCATGACATATAGGATGGACCGTTATATTTTCGAAATGTTTTTTTGTGTGCATGTTGGAAGGACATGCACAAAACGTTTACTGATGGTGAAATGACATCATTTGAATGCCAGGGTTACGACGTAAAGAGCCTGGGCAGGAGGCTATGCCACAATGTAAGTGCCTAAGTGGCAAATGTCAGATGGTCCGATCGATCGATCGGATCCATCGGACAAGCACATTTACGGTCGGACAAAAATTTTACCGATGGTGAAATGATGTCATTTGAACGCCAGGGTTGCAAGGAAAGAGCCTGAGCAGGAGGCTATGCCACGATCGATCTAACCTGAGTATCAGGCAGGGCTCGAATTTTATCGCGGCAATTGCCGTAGAGGGAGTACAAAATGCCGTGGATCATTGCGGAAACGACGGCAATTTTTTGCCGTATAGTATAATTTTTATACTATTCAATAAATTACTATATTAACAATAAAATTAACTTTTTGTTACAGTAACTTGAAAAAATGCCGTGGAAACTGCCAAAATTGCCGTAGACAGCTGTTACGTTCTACGGCAATTTTTAACGCCATTGCCGTCGATTAATTTCAGGGAAATTCGAGGCCTAGTATCAGGCTCTATTTTACAAATAGAGCCTGACACATGTCCCAAGTAGAAGGAATAACGATACGTCCGCCCCCATTGTTTGCAAGTTTGTACGGCGAAACTCGAAAGAGAGTGTAATGAAGCACAAAAGAGAAACAAGTAAAGTAAGCCCATTAATCCGTATCTTTGATCATCTCACTCCCAAAAATCAACATATTTTGGTAGAAGCAAGGGCCTTTAAAGAGAAATTCTCTTACGAGTATTGTTGGACAAAGAACTCAACCGTTTATCTGAGAAAGAGTGCCACCTCGAGAGCAATCAGGATAAAAGAGTTTGGGGATCTTCAACGACTAGAGGAAGGAAATCATGTGTAAACATAAGCTAAGTAAATTGTTGTGTTTAAATTGCGTACAATGTCTGTGAATGATATAAGAAGCGCTCAATTAACTAAATTATTGCTTAAGGAATTGCCATTTTATAATATGAACATTACTTATGAGTCTAGCTTTAATAATAGTATAACTACAAATCTTCCAACATTGAAGGATCTTGACAAATACCCTAGTATGCGTGATCTGGGCTTATTCAATCTTAACACAGATTCTGATGTGACTGCTGATATCAATTCAAATTATCGGATCTCCCAATCTCAATATTATTCACCTCATAAATTTACAAGTCTTAAGTCCCAATTAAATTCTAATATAGATGTGAGTTTCTCGTTGTTACATAACAATGTAAGGAGCTTGAGGCGCAACTTGGAAAATTTTCAAACTCACCTATTACAACAACTTGACTATAACTTTAGTGTTATAGGTATTTCCGAGACAAAAATTAGAGATGATAAATTTTCTGACTTTAATCCTGATATAGCAAACTATAGATTTGAATTTGTTCCTACACCATTAGCTTCTGGAGGTGTCGGACTGTATATCAGAAATGATTTATCTTATACAGTCCTTGAAAAATGTTCCAATTCAGCTTTTCAAGCACTTTGGGTTGAAATACACTTTACAAATAAAACTAGCATCATATGTGGTGTAGTATATAGACAGCATAATTCACCGGAGAGATTTCAAACTTATTTTGAGGACACTCTTGACAAATTTAACTCCAGATCTTTTGGGCCAAATAAGGCTATTTACGTAATGGGCGATTTCAACATAAATCTCCTCAATGCTCAAACTTGTCAATATACTCAAAACTTCTTACTTACTCTCCAAAGCTATGCTTTAACACCTACCATTGATAAACCTACAAGAGTCTACAATCAATCTGCGACTCTAATTGACAATATTTTTGTCAATAAAATTGAAAACCCAATTCTAAGTGGGAATATTGTTTCTGACATAAGTGATCACTTTTCGCAATTTTGTATCATACAATCTGATAAATACATAAATTATCAATACCAAACTAATGCCAAAATTCGTGATTACTCTAAATTTTCGGAGTCAAAATTCAATGACGACATATCACGAATTAACTGGTGTACTATCATCGCAAATAAAAAAGACAATATTGATAAACTTTTTATTACCTTTTACGATAAACTCAACAATGTAATCAACAAACACGCTCCCTTAAAACCAGTCTCAAATCGTATGAAAAAACAGTTCTCTAAGCCATGGATAACAAAAGGAATCAGGAGATCAATTAAAATAAAAAACAAACTATTTCACTCCACAAATAAAAATAAATATAAACTATACCGAAATAAGATAACAACCCTAACACGAATTAGTAAAAATTTATATTATAACCAATATTTCAATAACAACATAAAAAACATGAAAAAAACCTGGGAGGGCATAAATAGTCTGATCAATCGCAAGAGGAATAATCACAAAATGATTACGACAATCAAATGTCCAACCAGAAATGAAATTAATAGAAATCCTAGAGATATTCCCAATATCCTCAATAAACATTTTTCAACCATAGGAATTAATCTAGCTTCTAAATTACCCAATCCCTCAAAACATTTTAGCCAATATCTCGATACCACTAATTATTCTGGTTCTTTCTTCTTTGACCCCATTTCTCCACACGAAGTAGAATGTGAAATAAGTTCTATGTCTTGTGCGAAAGCTTATGGACTGTACTCTTGTCCTATACGAATTCTAAAGTATATAAAACACCAAATATCTTGGCCACTATCAGAAATAATGAATATATCTATCGAAAAGGGAGTGTTTCCTTCAAAATTTAAACATGCTAAAGTTATTCCTATATTTAAAGATGATGATGAAACTGATCCGGGAAACTATAGACCAATCTCATTGCTTTCAAATTTGAATCAAATTTTTGAAAAATTAATGTCTAAACGTCTCAAAACGTTTTTCGATAAAAACAAAATTTTATATGATAAGCAATATGGCTTCCGAGCTAAACACTCAACACAGCATGCCATTATTATTATAAATAATATTCATAACAATCTGGACTAGGGTCTATTTTCGTGTGGCATATTTATAGATCTAAAAAAAGCCTTTGATACCGTTGATCATTCTATACTTTTACATAAATTACATCATTATGGAATCCGTGGAGTAGTGATGGGCGATTACCGATTACTTGGTATCGATACCACCCGATACCAGGCCCAAACAGGAAGTAGTCGATACTGCACGGTATCGAAAAAGTGTTTTGATTACTTTTAAAATTAGACATTCATTATAATCCTGTAGTTGTGTCATCGTTTTCATGGCTATTTCTAATAAAATTTATGTACGTTTTTGTATTTTGCTGCATTTATCAATTTAATCAAACTTCCTTTATAAAATATTTGACATTCTATCCTCGCCGATAGAATAAATTATGAAAAAGGCGGGAAATAAAGTAATTTTTGTTTTTTTTATGGATTAAAATGGCGGATCAAATCGTTACTGTTAAAAAGATGTAACTTTCTGAAAATATATCGTTACTGTTACAGTAGAAGGCTACTTCTTTAACAGTCGGCTCTTTATTAAGTGACTTACATTTATTATTTTGAAAATTGGAGGAAGTAATCGTTTGGGTAATCGATACCTCGATACTTTAACCAAAAAGTAATCTGTATCGTATCGAAACCGATACTGGTGGTATCGCCCATCACTACCGTGGAGTGATCAACAACTGGTTTAGATCTTACCTAACTGACAGAATACAGACAACCCAAATTGGTGGTTACATATCATCAAAACATACAGTTAACTTGGGTGTTCCACAAGGTTCAGTCCTTGGGCCTTTACTCTTCTTAATTTACATAAATGATATTCACAAATCATCTGAGGTATTTAAATCTTACTTGTTTGCTGATGATACGAATTTGGTATACTCCGATAAAAAATTAAAATCTCTAGAAACGATCATCAATAGAGAATTGATAGGAGTTTGTGAATGGCTAAACACAAATAAGTTAACCCTCAACTTAAAGAAATCCAACTATGTTATCTTTCATTCTCACCAAAAAAAGCTCGACTATCAAGTTGAACTAAAAATGTTTGACAATCATTCCAATAACTTGATTAATATTGAATGTAAAGAATTTATAAAATATTTAGGTGTTATAGTGGATGGTAATCTCACATGGAAATACCACATTGACAATATTGCATCCAAAATAAGCAAAACAATTGGTATAATTACAAGGCTTAGATATTTTGTACCTCTGTCTACCTTACAAAACATTTATCGATGTTTAATCTTACCTTATATAACATATGGTATAGCCGTTTGGGGTCAAGCGGCAAAAAAATATTTGAATAAGATACTTATTCTCCAAAAACGAGCATTACGTCTAATGAATTTTAAAACAAACAAGGAACATGCTATCCCACTTTTTATTCATTCCAATATACTTCCTTTAAATATGCTTTACATTAAAACAATTTGCAATTTAATGTATGACGTCTCAAATAGCTCTTGTCCATCTTCAATCTCCGATTGTTTTATCCAATCAAAAGAAGTCCATACTTATAACACTAGACATTGTGTATCCCATAATTTTTATGTTGAATACTCAAAACTAACTACAACTATCACATCCTTTGTAAAATCAGGTGTTAAAATTTGGAATAGTATTCCCACTGATGTTCGAGAGTTGGGTAGAAAAAATTTCAATTTGAAAATTCAGAAAAGTCTTTTAATATAAGCTACATTTGCAATATATTTCGCTAATTTGCGATTATTTTCTAATTTTACTGCAGTTTTAATTTAAATTCAGCCGTTTAGTGGGCCGGCTATAATTGTAGTTGTGATCGTTATAAAATATATCAACAACAATAGTATAATCTAATTAGCACCAGCCAATCAAATGACAGATTTTAAAAATCGTTTGTCTAATCGGCCAATCAGCGCTCAATCCAGATTCTGGACTGAATAACCAGGCAAAATGCCACTTTTGTGTCAGGCCGTACTTTTCTCCCCTTCGCCCGAGATCAGGCGTGCCTGTGCCCTAAAAAATACGGCCTGATACTCAGGTTACAATCTATCGGATCCATCGGACAAGCTGTTTACGGTCGGACAAAGATTTTACCGATGGTGAAATGACATTATTTTCAAATCTAGGTTGCCGAAAGTAAAGAGCCTGGGCAGGAGGCTATGTCACAATTGAAGTGGCAAATGTCAGATGGTCCGATCGATCGGATCCATCGGACAAGCGTGTTTACGGTCGGACAAAAATTTTAACGATGGTGAAATTACGTCATTTGAACGCTAGGGTTGCAAACTAAAGTCTAAAGAGCCTGGGCACTAGGCTATGCCAAATGTAAGTGGCAAATGTCAGATGGTCCGATCAATGTATTTAAAAATGCTAAACATTGTGTCCTGAATACATTAGATTTTAAACCCGCACCTCATTGGATAGCATATCCCAGACCCAATAGATTTGAGTTGTTGGAAGGTTAGACTAATTGGCAAAACAAGTTAGTGACGGAGTTGTGGTATTCACATTTTATAAACATCCAAGGAAGTAATTAACTGAAGATTCTATAAGAATATATCTACAGTATAATGTAACACTGTGCATCTAAAAATCTGTTCACAAAATGCACGAAATGCAGTCCTAGGGGTGGAGAAACACAAAAATTTTCTGGATGGAAATCCCCCAGACCCCACTTACTATTACATACAATAGTGTGGTCCCTCTTTGTAGATTGCTGTCGCCCCACAGACAAATTCTTAAAAAAGGCTCTGGGAAGCATTCCGTATGGTGGTGCATGTGAATGTGATCATTCTTAAAAATTAAATTTTGTGAGCAAATAAACTATAATCATAGAACATGAACAGCTGTAATAAACAATTTTACTTTGTCACGTTTGGTGATAACTAAAAACTATGAATTATATTTAAAACTGCAAGCACTAATTCAGATACCAGACACGCAGATCCGAAAACTAGATGCGCAAAAATCCGGAAAATTTTGATCTCGGTTGCGCAATTTGCAAACTTTCCAGTCTGGGACTAACATGTTGTGTTTGAGTATTCCACCAAAAACAAAACAAATCTTCAGAATATTATGTGCAATAAATATTAGTGCTCAGAACGAATTTCAGCCTTTGTTCTTTACGTCTAAGATAAATGCATTGTAACTATCTTTCTTTGCAATCAATCAATTTGGATAATTAAATCACCAGCAAGATTCTTGCATATCATTAACTAAAAGCTTACGTGTCATACCATAGTAAATATGTTTTACGATGCATCAACTTCCTCAAGCATACATACGATTACGTTGCATTAAAGTCTGCTATAATTTAGCCTGTTGCAGGCTGTTTTCATCCAATACCTATGGAAATTCCGTAAACATAAAGACATTTCGTTCGTAGAATTACAGTTTACGCAAGCCAATCATTGTCGTATTCAAAATATAAATCATAGACGTGTTGACTTTGAACTAGATTAATTTGCGTGCAATTTATATAATTAATACGATCGTTTGAAATAAAAATCCCTTGAAATAACAGCTATTTCAACATATCCTACCAAAGTTACTCTATAAAAACATACTTGATTTTGCACTGATGGTGTAAAAAAACTCAAGTTCAATGCTTGCACGTGTGTCTGTTAAAATGCCAAATCACGGCATCTCAGATGATTTTAAATCTCTTACTCTACAAAACATACCTCCGTATTCAACGGGTTTGCCGCCTTTAAAGAATTTAATGGTCGGGTATCCTTGTACTCCGAATTTTGTAGCTAGTTCTGTGTGGATGGTGGCATCGACCTTCCCCAATTTGATTTCTGAACCCTGCTCCTTTAGCGTTCCAGCTGCTGAGGCATATTCGGGAGCAAGTGCTTTGCAGTGGCCGCACCACGGAGCATCTGGAGAAACAAAACGACATACCGTGTCAGAAACGAGTCAAAACATTTCCAAATCATGCAAGTCATAACATCAAACTTACAAAATTCAACTAAAATGTGATTGTGTTTGGCTAAAGCGCCTTCAAAGTTGTCCTTCGTTAACACCAGAACATTCTCTTCTTCGGTAATTTCGTCCTCACAAAACACCGTGCCTACGAGGGCAACCATCAACAACACGTACAATTTCATTTTTAGAAGTTTAAACGCTCCAACACACAAGATCAGGTCGAAAAATCCAAGACAAGTGCTCGAAAGTTGTTCTTTCTGCAAAAGTTAAAGCGAAAAGGCCAAATCTCGCGCATGCGTGCAAGGTGAACCGTCGTGGTCTTCTGTGATTGGTTAATTTTAATTGATACCTATTGACCTCCAAAGCGACACGTAGAAATATGAAGTACAAAAGTTGATGCAAATGCCAATAAAAGTGACAAAAGATTCTTGCAAATTGCAAAATCAAAGCGTTTTTGATCAATTGGCATGTTAAATGCTGATTCGCAAAACGTGTGACTATCATCCATACGTCATAAGAGAAATAAGTGGTTCGTTTTTGTTCCGCTTATCAAAACATTTCATATTTTTAATAGTTCAGCTGTACCGAAGTTTAAATTGTTATTGATATTGTTCTGTTTTTTATCGTTGTTGAGGAAAACTACGTACTTTTCAAAAGTAAAGAGGTTGTTTAAATTAAATACAATTTTGCGTAATTTTCCTCATAAAATATTCATGATACATATTTTGTGTCTATAAGGCCCTATATATAAGACTATAATATTAAAACAGTTATTACTGCACCAAATCGGTCAGAAATGAATTCACTTTAAATATGAACGCATTAAAACTGTCTTTAAAAGTTGGTGGTCTGTAAATCTTCGGTAATTATAACATGTTCGATTCCTGTTCGCCCTGATGAATATATTTCTCTTCGGATCCTGACCCAATCACACGCTAACGCCTATATTCTAAAAGCTCACTCACACTCACTGAGTGGAGTATCAATGCTGTTTTTGAATAGCTGGAGGGTGAGTACTGAGTAGTCACATGGCAAAAGGACTGAGTCATTGACACTCAAGGGAAGCTCAGATTGAACAGTCCACTCTTTGAGTGTGAGTGAGCGGAGCTTTTAGAATACAGGCGTCTAACCTTTCTTGTTAAACATAATTAAGGATAGATTGTTAACCAAATTTTCGACTTAAATTTACTTAAATTTTGCTAATTACGAATGACACTTTCCGGGGTGGGGGCAGTGGCGTAACGTTATATCAAGGGGCCCCCGGTTCAAAATTTTCGAAGGCCCCCCTAGTAGAAGTGCCAAAGGCACGAGTCGAGCGCCGTATATGCACAAGTTTTCTAGGGGGTCCAGGGCATGGTTATCCAGAAAATTTTTTAATCTAGACTCTCTGAAATGCCATTTACTGGACTTTGGGGAGAGATTTTACAGAATTCTGATGGTCATAAAACGACATTGTAACATATCAGAGGTCCTGGTCAATGTTTTTGCCCTATCGCCTAAGCCTGGGGGCCCCCATTTGGGTTGGGGGCCCCCGGGTTCACCCGGTCTGAGCCCATAGTAGTTACGCCACTGGGTGGGGGACATGAAAGTTTGCCTAAAGATTATTTAATGAAATTACCTGAATTTGAAATATTTGTGATACATTTGCCCGAATGTTCTATGGTTTTCTAAATTCGGGGGCAGTTAGCCCCCCCCCCCTGCCTGCCCCATTCCATACGCCTGGCTGGATTAGTCCATGTGTACATTCCGGTTTAATTATTTCATTCTTTAATTTGTAGTTTGGATAAATTTTGCATGTTAATCAGCCTGGTTTTGACGTATTCTT